CCAGATCCTGACGAGCATCCCACCCTGATCCTTCAGGTAAACAGCAGCAGCAGGGGCCTCGGCCATGACCTGCTTTCACCTGTAGGTGCGTGGGGTGCAGAGAGGGGAGAGGGCCAGGGCCCCATGGTTCTTGGAGAGCTGCTGGCGAAATCCTTTTATGGCCTTCAGCCTGTGGACTCCAGCATCCCCCTCCTCTGAGGAAAATCCACTGATAATGCATTGACCCATAATGCATTTCCACCCTTCTCTCCCTGATGGATCAATTCCGTTCCTGGATTATTTTTCCTGGGGCTCCGTCTAAGTCCTGAGAGGCGCCTCTCTTCTGGGTTTCAATGATGTGTGAATAACAGTAGCTATCGTCTGTCAAGCACAGACCACACCCCAGGCCTGAGAAGTGCTGGGTAGTGTCAGAGCTGCCATTCGTGTCCTCAACTCTCCCTACTGTGGTTCTAACCCTGACCAACGCTCTGGGAGGGAGGTGCTGGTAGGCCCAGGTGACAAATGAGAAATGGAGGCCCAGAGTTGCTCGGTGGCCATCCCCACAGGGGTCAGTGGTGGGCCTGGGAATGGCACGCAGTCTGTTTGACTCCAAAGATCTTTCTAGGGCACAACTGTCCTAGACTGCCTTCCCCTGTCAGTAGGAACCACCCCTGCTTACTTGGCAATGGGGTGAACTCCACGGCCGACGTGCTGGTGACCTTGCTGGGGTCCAGCTCCACACGGTGGTATTCAAAGATGGCCCTTCGCCGGGATTCTGAAACAGAGGCAGAGCCTATCATCAGGAACAGGTCCCGGGCAGAGGGCTCTGAGGCCTGTACCAGGAGCCTGAAGGGGGGCAAGAGGTTGTAGTGAGTGGAACTGAGGGCAAGAAGTAAACCCTTCAAGCTGGGATAATGATGCAGGTGCTGCTGGGAGACGGAGGACAGGTGGACAGGAGTTGACCTTGAGAGATCTGTGTGTTATCAGCAGGTTTAACTACTCGGTGCAGAGGCCTGGCTGCTCCTGGGGTCAGGACACAGGAGATGCCACGCTCCTGCGTGCCTTCGTGTCTTCACAGCTGCTGCTCACTTGACCTATAATGCATTTCCACCTTCTCTGCCTGTCAAGCTCACCCTCCTACATCCAGCTCAAAGGCTACTTCCTCTGACAAGCCCCCCTGGGCCACTCCCTCCTCTTCCCCACCCAGGCCAGGTGCTCTCTCCTACTGCACTCACCACCTTGTATGGTCGCTAGGTTTTATCTGGAGGGTGGGGGCATGAGGCTGTGAACCTCTGGTCCTGAACCTGACCCGCAGGGAGCACTCTGCACGTGTCTGTGGAAGGACAGGCTGACCTTGGAGAACCTCTTCCTTCCTGGCCAGAGCGGGGTTCAGGGCCTGGAGCCAGGCTTATGTCCTGCCTCAGTCCCTGCAGAAACTTCCTACAGGACCTCAGAGTCAGGACACCCAAGTTTTGATTTGAGTTTTGTTCCCAACTCACTGGACAACCTTAGGGTCTCAGTTTCTTGTCTGTGAAGTAGAAAGACAAAAAACACATGCTACAACCACCTTTGGAATTGTGGATGAAAAGACTTTTCCTAAAATGGCAATCTGAGGTGCTCTGACATTTCCCACCACACCTCCATAATCACCCAAGAACCATAACTTGGGGTTGGTTTCCTGTGGCTCTGAGAAGCAGGAAGCCAGCCCCTGCGCTTTGTGAACGGGTTCCATATGAGGGGAAAGGGCCACTTGGTGTTTGGTCGACCCAGCATCTTCTTCTTCCGGATTGCTTCTTCAATTCCCTTTGGGGGAACTTCCCCCACCCCCTGCCTACATGATCTGCGCAAGTTGCCTTCTTCCTCCATGACCCTGCCTCCCTGGCCACACAGTGATTGGTCCAGGGCTGAGCATCTGATGGAAGCTGGACCAATCGGAGACCTTCCCTGGGACTTTGCACCTGTAACCAAGAGCCCCCTTTGCTCTTTCCTAGTGAAGCTAAGATGCAAGCTTGGAATCCATGAATGGCCACAGTTCCAAGCTCATGGGGAAGGCCAGAAAGTGAAATTATCTTGTGGACAGAAGCAGAAAGGACGGTGGCATTCCAGGCTCTGCAGTTCCAGATGCTGCCCTGGTCCCTGTCTTGCCCGTTGTCAGCTCTCCTGTGCTCTGTGGGCTACTTCAGTATCCCCAGTGGACCCTTTCCCCCACATCACCTAGTCCAGTGGTTGGCAAACTCATTAGTCAACAGAGCCAAATATCAACAGTACAACGATTGAAATTTCTTTTGAGAGCCAAATTTTTTAAATTTAAACTATATCGGTAGGTACATTGTTATTAACTTAATTAGGGTCCTCCTAAGCTGGCCTTTGCTAAAAACATCCTCAATCTGATTGAGGTACGTTCGCTGAGGTCGACCCCTTCCAACTCTCCCATCCACACTCATCTTGTATACTTGTTTCGTCTATCTCCTTTCGTTCATCCTCTCTCTATGTCCAAACCATCTCAACATACCTTTCTCAACACTACATCTTCTTTCACTCCACAATGTTCCCTAAAATTAACTTAATAAACTTTACTGAAAGTTTTAAGTCAACTTCGCACTGTACGTGCGCGCCCGCACGTGGTATTTTGTGGAAGAGCCACACTCAAGGGGCCCAAGAGCCGCATGTGGCTCGCGAGCTGCGGTTTGCCGACCACGGACCTAGTCCGAGTTGGGTTTTTGTCAGTAGAAGCCCAGAGTAGGCGAGGATATAATTTTCTCATTCAGCTGAAGGTGGTTTGGAGGAAAGTTGGCAGTAGCATTCAGTTGGGGCATCCATGAAAGAGAGGGTGTCCTGTGCAGTTGCTGGGTGCCCGTTCCCTCCTTTATGAGGAATCTGATGCTGAAAAAATCTCTCATCTTGGGGTGGTGAACACACAATACAATATACAGAGGATGTATTATAGAATTGTACACCGGAAACCTATGTAATTTTACTGACAAATGTCATCCAAAGAAATTAAATTTAAAAAAAATTATATATAAAGAATATCTCAGCTATGTTTCTTTCATTACTTATTCCCTAATCTTGGAATTGTTCCCTCCTACTTAACCCAGCATTGAACCCCAGGTGGGTCTGGTGCCCAAGCGAGCTCTCTTCCCACCCACCCCGCTGCCCCCCCGCAGAGTAACGGCGGACACCTCGGCCCCTGAAACCCACGAGACCGCAGAACATCCTCGAAACACATTCCATGCAAACTGCTCTGGCTTCGATGCCAGCAACGCTCCCTTGGAACGAAACAGGAATCTGCAGCCCCACCGCGGAGGCCTGTGCCTGCGGTGCTGGCGCTCCCCGCTCCTGCCACCAGGAGGGTCTGTTACCCACGGGTCAGGGGCCGCTCTGGGCCGAGTGGGAAGGGGAGGAATGTGTGGGGACCCACAAGAATGTGGAGGAAGAGAAGTGCTGCCTCCGGAGGGGACCACACAGGGAGGGGCGGCTTAGGCTCCGCCCTCCCATCTGTGTGACCTTGGACACGGGACCAAGCTCAGTGAGCCTCATCCACAAATGGAACTAGTTATTCTACTCTTAGGGGCTGTTCTGGGAAGTCAAGTAGGCAACTCCGGCCGGAGGAGCCACTCACAGTGTGCGGCTCCTCTTCCTCCTCACCACCCGCTCCCTTTGTTTGGTTTTCCTGTGGCTGAGACTCCGGGGCATTTTCAGCCTCTCCCAGCCCCTCACACTCCTTCCCTCCCCCCACCCCAGCGTGTTTCTTGTCAGTGATTCTCCAGAGGGTCCCTCAGCTCCTCGGCAACTCCTGAGGATGCTGTGGATGGAGCGCCCCCCTGAGAGGCAGCTGACCCCGGGGGTATCGGTGACCCTCCTCTGAGCTCCACGGCGCCCCTTGCAATGCCCCGTGTCATCTGTTACACTGCCCCACCTACATTCACTTTGCTGGCCACCTGCCCCTCCAGGCCGCCAGCTCCCAAGGACAGAGCCTGCAGGTTACTTGTCTCTGCCTCCCAACCCCAAGCACCAGGCCCTGCACAATACAGGACATCAAAACACGACAGTAGCCCTAGCCGGTTTGGCTCAGTGGATAGAGCGTCAGCCTGTGAACTGAAGGGTCCCGGGTTTGATTCCGGCCAAAGGCACATGCCCAGGTTGTGGGATCGATCCCCAGTAGGGAGCATGCAGGAGGCAGCCGATCAATGATTCTCTCATCACTGATGTTTCTCCCTCTCCCTTTCTCTCCGAAATCAATAAAAATACATATTTTTAAAAAATGACTGTGCATGAATGCACGAATGGGTTACAGATAGAAAACCTCAGCAACATATTATAACTTCAGCCCGCAGCCCAACGAAAGCACGCCCTTCCTCCCCAGCCCACCACAGATTATGGCCTTTCTCCGAAGGGCCACCCCACTGGGCCAGCGAAGGCGAGACAAGTTACAGCTCCAAGGAGACGAGTTGGCTGGCGGGACTTTTCTGCCTGCAAGGATGCAGGGACAGCCACCCTCGGCTAGGACAGTGAAACGGAGGGACAAAGGGTCAGGGTTGGGGCACAAAAGGAGACAGGGGTTTGTCAAGGAAGCCGATGTCAGAGACCAAAAGCAGCATCCAGGGAAAGCGGGGTCCCCAGCAGAATCTGGGGGTGGGTCTCCCCACCAGTCGGGCTCAAAGTGGAGTTGGGGTTGTGCCTCAAGTGAGGGGCAGCCAGAGGTGGTCAGATGTCCTCCAAAGGCCACCACGGCCCTCCCAGCAGGGCAGGGGGACCAGTGTGGCAGGAAGGAGGCGGCGGGTAGGTGTGCGCAAACATACCTCTGATTTAAAATACTTGTTCATTTCAACCGCCAACGTATACTTATTTGAGCGTAAGGCTCTGGTCATACTTTTCTTTCTTCTACAAACAGAAGCCTTAACATCCCCGCGGGCTGATTTGCTCTTGGATTATTTTGCCAACATCTGGGGCCCGCCGGAGGACAATGACGTCTGTCGGAATGGCCAGCAGATCCCTCCCGGAACCGAGACGGAGGCCACCCCAAAGCCACATGTTTGGCCGTTTGAGACGTTCTGTTTTATCTCTGCTTCCACTCATCAAAGATTCAGAAATCCTAAGGTCCAGACACGGAGAGTCCTGCACCCGATTGAGAAACGCCCAGGGTGCAAAAGGGGTTTCCGTGTCCCGTTTGTTGCCACACAGACACCATGGAAACGGCCTCGTTCGAAAAGAGAGCTGCATCGTCCAGAAAAACCAGGTGGGTAGGCCCCGCTACCAACGTCCCTCCAAGATGGGTGGTTACGGTATAAACAAATGTCAGACGGTGGTCTGGGGAAAAGTGTTCACCCGCTCATTCATGTATTTGCTCATTTGGTTATTCCTTCAATAATTATGCATCGAGCCTCAGAGATAAACACAATGAGGGGCCTGCCAAGTAGGAAGGGGCAGACCGAGGAGAGGAAGCAAGAAATGGCCAGGCTCGGCGAGCAGCGCCGAGGGAAAAGCAGAAGCGGAAAGAGGGGAGGGAGACAGGGCCCCCAGACAGATACAAAGCTCCAGTGGAGGGTTCTGTGAAGGACCCTTTATCCAGAGAGGCCAGAGGCGAAACAGGCCCGACCCGGGGATGACAGGTCCCCGCCCACCACACCCTCACTTGGCTGGTCCTTCGCCCTCTTCTGCAGCCAGTTCCGGAGCCTCCCACCCAGCGGCCAGCACAGGCCTCTGACACATTTCTGGACTCACATCTGCCTTTGAAAGGAAAGGAAAGTTCTGGTAAAGGAGAAGGCCCACATG